AACTAGCTGTAAGTGGAATTATGTCTTAAGGCAATTAAGGCATCGTGCCTTAAGGCAAATTGCTGGAACTTCCCGTACCAAATATTATTATTTTTTTTTAAACGATTAACATTTTTGAAAAAATTTTACTTCGAAAAAATAAGATTTTGGACAAACAATTAGACAAAAAATTAATCAAACCGCGTAAGCGCCGCTTCGACGTCTAACGCGTAAACATTGGTACGGAACCCATAGGAATGTAAACCAAATTCATACTTATTGTTAAAATCTCTATAAAATATCTGATAATTTGATGTGCATATGTCTAATGATCATTTTTGACCGCCAAATGGCATTTTTTTTTTACTTTTTTCATTAGATCTCCGAAACCGCTAGACCTGCCTTTATGAAAATTTGATCGGTTCTTCACCTTGTCAATACAAGTATAATGTTTTTTGAATTATTTAAATCGGACGCTCCGTTCTCTTAAAAACTGAGTTACCGTTTTCGGCACTTTTTGCCCCGTATCTTCGGAACGGCTAGACCTGCCTTCGCCAAAAACTAATCAGCACGTCTCCTTATCAATACGAATCGAATACTTTTTGAATTATTCAAATCGGTTGATCCGTGTTCCCGAAATCGTCGACGAAAATTTGTATCCGCACATACATACACACACGTACATACATACATATACACACGCACACACACACACACATACATCCATTTTTTCCAAGGTATGCCAAAATGTTCAGAAACCTCTGAAACGTAAAGATATATAAAAAATTTCATTTTCGATTTTTTTGCGGTTACTATAACTTGCCCTACGGGAAGTTAATAATAAATATAAGGGGTATAACATATATAATTTCTTTTTGGTTTGACCAATGGAATGAAAAAGACATCGAAATAAAATAATTGAAAACATTAATATAAATGAGTAAATATGTAAGCAACTAAAGCATTTATGGATCGACGATAGCTTATAGATCCAAAAGAGTGAAATGCAAGATAAAAAAAATGGAGATTCTGTTTTCCACCAACAGTTTATCGGTTGCTTGAGTACCAAAAATAAAAATATTAATGGAAAAAAATCAAAATTCACAATATTATGCAATTACATAAAAACATATCAGAGTGCCACAAGTCAAATCTACTATATCACCTACTTTTTCCGGCCGCTTCTTCTGCTCCTGCACCACCGCCATTTAGTACTTATTTCTTGTTCTTGTTCTTTTTCTATTTCCACCTGCACCACCGCCATCACCACCGCCACCGCCACCGCCATCGACTCTTCGACCAGAAGAATTCGTACCGTCGTACCGCGAACGGACGCGAATCAGTCGCAAACTGTCCTCCGACACGAACGGCGGTACCGATAATAAAAACACGGTCGACAAAGTGAATCTGAAATAATAATAATAATAATAATAATAATATTGATGAAATAAAACAATATTATATATTAATAAAAAAAATTGTTTAAACAACCGGGTTGTGAAAAGTTTTTAAGGTAGGAAGTACGAGGAGATAGGATTGTATGTAAAAATTAATATTTTTTCAAATTTTTTTTATTAATATTTTTTCAATTTTTTATATATATATATATATATATTAACTAAGTCTAATAATCGGGCATAACATCAATAAAAAACATGAATTTCTTGCAAAAAAATTATTTTAAATCCATAAGTTTCGGCTATAATCCTAGCCTTCATTCACTAGAAAATTAGTTATTCTCAGTGTTAAATTGGAAAATTTTAATAATCCATCGTAATTAAATTTAACGGTAGATTAATAACGGTAAAATTTAATGGTAGTTAAATTTTCCAATTTAACACTAAGAATAACTAATTTTCCACTGAATGAAGGCTAGGATTATAGCCGAAACGTATGGATTTAAAATAAATTTTTAAAAGAAATTCATGATTTTTATTGATGTTATGCCCGATTATTAGACTATATATATATATATATATATATATATATATATATATATATTGTATGTACATAAAAATCCTAAATAATTTTTTATTAATTCATAAATAAAAAATATTATAAAATTAAAATATTCCAAAGTGATTACATTAATATTATTACTATTTTTATTAATAAAATATTACAATAGTGTTAACTCTTAAATATGTAATAAAAATAATAGTAATCAAAAAGTTAATAAGTTATTAAATTAAATCCAACTAATGCAATTTTTAATGCAATAAATTAATTAAAATAAGAATTATAAAAATAATATAATTTTACAAAATAACCAAGAAAACAGAAAAATATTAGTAAATTAATTATTTTAACAGTTGAAACTATTTTCCAAAAACTATATAATTGAAATTATAAAATAAACAAAATATTAATAAATAACTGATTAAATTAATGAGTTTATATTAATAATAATAATAATAATAATATTGATGAAATAAAACAATATTATACATTAATAATATATTGTTTAAAAATTGACTATTGTTGAGTTGTAAAAAGTTTCTAAGTCAGGAAGTTGGAGGTAGGATTGTATGTAAAATTTAATATTTTTAAATTTTTATTATTAATATAATATAATTTGTTATAAATAAAATTATAAAAAAATCTAATTTTTAAAAATAGTTCAGTTTTTTTCAAAAATTTCCTAATTCAGAAAAATCCTTTTTTTTGTTTAAATTTTTTTAAAAAATTTAAAAATTGACAATTGTTGAGTTGTAAAAAGTTTCTAAGTCAGGAAGTTGGAGGTAGGATTGTATGTAAAATTTAATATTTTTAAATTTTTATTATTAATATAATATAATTTGTTATAAATAAAATTATAAAAAAATCTAATTTTTAAAAATAGTTCAGTTTTTTTCAAAAATTTCCCAATTCAGAAAAATCCTTTTTTGTTTAAATTTTTTCAAAGAAATTTAAAAATTGACAATTGTTGAGTTGTAAAAAGTTTCTAAGTCAGGAAGTTGGAGGTAGGATTGTATGTAAAATTTAATATTTTTAAATTTTTATTATTAATATAAATATAATTTGTATGTATGTACATAAAAATCCTAAATAATTTTTATTAATTCAAAAATAAAAAATATTAAAATATTCGAAAGTGATTAAATTATTAATATTACTATTTTTATCATTAAAATATTACAATAGTGTTAACCCTTAACTTTGTAATAAAAAAAATAATAATCAAAAAGTTTAAATCCAAAATTAAATCCAAATAATACAATTTTTGAATTTAGGCAATATTATTTGAATTTATCAGAATAATAATTATAAAAATAATATAATTTTACAAAATAACCAAGAAAACAGAAATAAATATTAGTAAATTAAGATTAAGAATTATTTTAAGATTTGAAACTATTTATCAAAAATTATATAATTGAAATTAAACATAAATTGTAGTAATAAACAAAATAATAATAAATAATTTATTAAATTAATCAGTTTATATTAATAATACTGATAGTAGTAATATTTTTTTATTCTCTATTTTATTTACAACTGTCCAGTTAAGGACATTTAGTAAATTTAATATTATTTAATATTTTAGTATATTTTATATTATTAGTAATATTACTAATAATAATAATAATAAATAGAAAAATAATATAATTAGAATAAAAAAAAATTAAGGAAACTAAATTATAATAGTTATGAAATAAAACTTATGAAGTTAATAAACTGATAAGTTATTATTAATAATATTAGGAGTAGTAATGAAATAATATTAGGAGCTTGGTTTTGTAATAATAAAAATAAAAATAATAATAATAAAATTAAAAAAAATAATATAATTGGTATAATTAAATTAACACAAATAATTTATGATTATTTTTTACCGTTTTAATTTTAAACCATCTACTTTAAAAATTAATTTATAATATTAATAAAATAAAAATTAACAAAATGTTAATAAACCAATCAATTAATACTAATAATAATAATAAAATATTAAAATTGTGTAAATAAAATAAAAATTGATAAATCAGTTAATATTTAATTAATAATAATTAGAATTTGTAATTTTTATAATTAAAAAAATTAAAATAAAAATTAACAAAACTATTCAAAAAATCAAAATCAAAATGTTAAATTATTTAGTTAATGATAATAAAAGTAGAAAAATAATAAATAAATAATATAATTGAAAAATATTTTGCTTATGAATAATTACAATTATACCAATGAATCGTTTTTGTAATGATAAATATTAATAATTCATTTGTTTTTTTCTATATTTATAATTACAATTTTATTACTATTATTATTATTTCAAAATGAATATTATATATTCAAATGAATTTTATATAATTCAAATATTTTATTATTTTTATTAGTATTAGGTGACTAATTCAGTAACTTTTTGATTTTTATATTATAACTTTTATTATTTTATAATATTATTTGATTTTCTGAATTAAATTATCGTTATTATCATTTTGGTACGTTTATTATAATAATTCCAACAAAATAATAATCAGATAATAATTCATGTACAGTATTATCATAATAATGTTATTATTATATTAATTAAAATAATAATTTAAATAAAAAAGTTTAAACCAATAATAATAATAAACCATTTGGATCGTATCAACATATTAAGCTTGTTCCAAAAAAATAGATTTAAAATGTTAAATAAATTATTTTTATTATTATAAGATATAATAGTATTATAGTATTTATCAAAATTATTTTCATTACGTAAACCAAAATCAAAATCGATCAACAAACAGTTTTTATCTCGATACAAAGATTTTTAAAAGTTTTATCGGCAATAAAATAAAAAAATGTGTTTTACAATAAAAGGTGTCAGAAAAAATCTGTAATTTTTATCAGTTTCTGATAAAAACGACATATTAATATATAAAATTTAATCGAACATAATAAAATGGAATTTACTAGTAGAGATTATTAAATATTTGATTCTAGATATCACAACAAATTCCATAACATTTTCCATAATTATATATATATATATATATATATATATATATATAAAATTATTATAAATTTTTAGTGATCACCAAAAAAACAATAAGAACAGTTTTGTTTAAACAATATTTATAAATATAAAGTTGTTAAGTGAAAATTAACTACTGAAGATGTCAAAGGAAGCAAGTAAGTATTTTAATTTTATTTTATTATTATTTTATTTACCTTAAATATATTCTAATTTTACTTTTACTTTCTTGTTTGAATTTTTGTTATAAATGTTCATAAACAATTATAAACCTACTTAATTATTTAAATTTAACAAATCAGTTACATGCGTTTATAATTACTTTTTAAACTTTTAAATTTACTAATTCTTTATGCTCGACCGAAACACACGTGTATGAATTTGTTCCATTGATTATTTTGTTTTAAAAATTATAATATAATTTTTATGAAAAATTATTTTATTTAAAAAATCCACGACTTGTGCAGAATAAACTTTGGTTCTGGTTTCACGCGTACAAGGCGCTGCGATCGCCATAGCAAAGATATAAACCTGTGTTCGACTTGAAGTTAGTCTCTAAGGGAACAAATCAGTCAATATTAAATTTGTAAAAAATATTTTAATTTTATAATTGTTAAATATAATGATGCTAGTAAAGTTAACAAATTAAATTACATTAAATTTTACAAATTACACAAATCAGTAATGACTACTTTATAAAAACTAATTTACGAATTTGTTTCTTTGATTATTTTGTTTTAAGAATTCATATATATATATATATATATATATATAAATATATATATATATATATATATATATATATATAACAAATGTTTTCTGAGTGGATAATAGATATTAATTTGGAAATATGAACAAACAACCCTTTTTTTGGTACTAATTCATTCAATAATAATTTTTTAATGTGTATCGAGCAACTTGTAATGGATAACACAAAAGGCTAATTTAGATTTCCATATTTTAAATTTTAAATTATAACACACTGATGATGAGACAAACCTAGTCTCGAAACGTTTGTGAAAATTATTATTTAATAAATTAGTGCAAAAAAGAGTGTTGTTTGTTCATATTTCCAAGTTAATATATATACAGATGTATCTATAAACAGGGTCGTTAAAATCGATTTGCAAAAAAAATCGCATTTTTTCCACGAATATTTGTGATTGCGTCGTTTTCAATGGCCGAAAATAGAATTAATCCATTTTATGACAACGCTATAATATACATCATTAAATAATATAAAAACACAAACATACACACGCAAATATATATTTATATATATTTATATATATTAGGGTGGTCCTTAAAATGGCCATTCTCGAATTTCCTTGCTCCCAAGGGCTCAAATACTTCCAAATTGATAAAAAAAATCCTCTATAAGTTTTATGTCTCAATATTGTCTTTTAGATAATTCGCAATTCAATCAAAGTTTTGTATGGAAATAGCATAGAAAGTTTTTCAAAAATTTAAAAAATGTTTCTTGAATATACTTTAGCGAACAAATGAATAAGTTTTATTCAAAATTCAACGCTCGACAAAACAAATTATGAAAAAACCTGTTTTTTAGAGCGTCAAATTTTCAATAAAAGATGACACGAATTTTCACTTTTAATTCATTTGTCGCTAAGTTATACCTAAGAAACATTTTTTAAATTTTCAAAAATTTTTCCATGTTATTTTTATACGAAGCTTTGATTGAATCGCGCTCGATCTAAAAGTTAATATTAAGAGCTAAAATATTCAGAGAATTTTCTTTTATCAATTTGAAACCATTTGATTTCTTGGGAGCAAGGAAATTCGAAAATGTCTATATTAAGGACCACCTTAATATATATATCGTAGCCTTTATTCAGTAGAAAATATAGTTTGACATCATTTATTACCAAATGCGCAAAAAGAAATTTTTCACCCCCGTTTATGATTTTCTGCTGCAGGCAATAGAATTTATTAGATCACCTAAAAGGTCGTAATTTATTGCGGACAATCGTAAAATGTCTATTTTCAGTTTTCGAAATTTGCATAAAGGTATTCCCTTGGTGGCTGGAAGAACAGAGGTCAAGTGCAACATGCAACACAATATATATATACATAGATATATATATATATATATATATATATATATATATATATATACAAATGATTGTAAGATAATGCAAAAAAACGGTCGAATTTTCTAGATAAATATAGAGCATGTAGTGTCATATATTAGGTTGTCAAATATCTCCCTTCCGCCTTTTTGTATTATAAACCAAGAGCAAAAAAGCGGAAGGCAGATATTTGACAACCTATTATTAAGGTGGTCTTTAATATAGATATTGTTTTTCCACTGATTGTTGTAATTGATTGCTTTTTCGAAGGACCGAAATGTAAAATACTTTATTGATAACTGTATATATTTATTTTATAAGTTATAATAGTATTAACAGTAATTTTAACATGTTTTTGATAACGTATTGAATGATTTGATTTTGGTTTTATAATTTTTCATTGATGATTTTTTGTTTTTCTATCTCAATGTACCAGCATGCTTTGATTGGCGCGAACAGATATATTTGAATTTTTTTTGCTCCCAGGGGCTCAAATGCTTCCAAATTGATAAAAAAAAAAATCTGTGAAAGTTTTAAGTCTCAATATTAACTTTAAGATAGTCTGCACTCCAACTAAAGTTTCTTATGGAAATAACATGGATAAAATTCTGCATTTATTTTTTAGAATTTTATAACTTAGCGACAAGTGACTCAAAATTTTAAGAATAACATTGTATTTGCTTATTTTGATAATAAATAAAAAAATGTACAACAATTTGATATATTTTATAAAACAAATATTTACTTAGGAAGTAGAACCATGAAACTTTGGTGGTTGTAGTGCGGACTATCTTAAAGTTAATATTAAGACTGAAAATTACTAGTCAGAAAAAAATCGAAAATATCTATATTATAGACCACCCTTCTGTATATACACATCATTTTTGTGTCATGATGTATGTGATAATACTCCTCCGAAACGGCTTGACCGATTTTTATGAATTTTTATATTCACATTCAGTAGGACTGAGAATCTTGTAATATTTATTTTTTGTACTTCTAGATGGTAAGGGTTGGTCACTTTAATTTCATTTTTTTTATAATACGTGATTAAAAAAACACATACAGCCCTAAATTTTCACTCTTCTACCACAGACCCTACTCCTCTGAAACGGCTTGACCGATTTTTATGAATATTAACATTCAGTATGACTGAGATTAATGTAACATTTGTTTTTCGTCTTCCTAAATGATAATGGTCACTCTCTTTTTATTTAATTTAAGTATAATGCGTAATTAAAAAAACACATAGAGTCCTAAAATTTTACTCTCTTATCACAGACCCCTAATTATTTTATTTAATTATTAATTATTTTAGTAATTGAATCCTTTTTTATACCGCTTTCAGTCAGTTCAAGATTTTCTTTAGATTAATGGAAAAGCCTAAATTTTACTCCTAAATCTATTTTTTTTAATAAGGGTTGTTATCACCCCTAACATTTCTTCTGTAATTTTTTTAACCAATATTTTTTGAAAATTTTTATATATCTTTACGTTACAGTGATTTTTAAAAATTTTGGTATAATTTAGAAAAAATGAATGTATGTGTGTATGAGTGTGTGTGTATGTATGTATGTGCGAATACAATTTTTCGTCGACGATTTCACGAACACGGATCAACCGATTTGAATAATTAAAAACAACATTCGATTGCTATTGACAAGAATACGTGGCGGTTAGTTTTTGGCAAAGGCAGGTCCAGCCGTTTCGGAGACACGGCGCAAAGAGTTAAAAAAAGGCAATTCAGTTTTTGAGAGAACGGAGCGTCCGATTTGAATGATTGAAAAATCATTTTATTTGTATTGATAAAATGAAGAACTTATCAAATTTTTGGAAAGGCAGGCCCAAAAATTTTGGAGATCCAATAAAAAAAAATATAAAAAAAATCATTTGATGGTTAAAAATGATCATTAGACATATGCGCATTAAATTATCATTATTTAATGCGCATTTAATTATCATTATAAAAATTTTTGTTTATATTTATATGGGTTCCGTACCAATATTTATTCGTTAGACCGCGACGCGGCGCTTACGCGCTTCGGTATTTTGTATCTCACGCAACGCGATTGCTTAAAAAAAATCAAAATTTGCAAAAAATTTCAAAATATAAAAATTTTCAAAAAATCAATTTATTCAAAAATTTCTGAATTCTAAAAAATCTGAGTTTTCAGATTTTATAAAAAATTAGAGATTTTAAAACTTTTAAATTACTATACTAGTAAAATAAATATAAATATAATAATAAAAGTTACAGCAATTTGGCTTAACGAAGTTTCTAAAATCAAAAAATACATACGAACCTAAATTTTCACCCTCCTATTTTGTAACTACAATCACAATTAGTTTTTATACCAGAAATAATTTCTAGGAAAAAGCAGCATTCATATACTCAACTAGTATACGTATGTGTATTATATTTTTTAATAATTATATAATTGCAATAAAATTATAAAACGATAATTTAAATCGTTAGTAAGTAATAGTCGTAGTAAATACGAAATAACTTTCATATTTACCGTTTTAACTGTTTTAACCTCTCTTTCCGCGATGATGTATGTCAGGCGGCGCATAGTTGACGATCTAGCCTCAAAAACGATAAATTACATATATACACAAGATTTAGAAGAAACTAGGTGTCAGTGGCATTTTGCCTTCAGGCAAGTTGCATAAACTTTATAAGATCGACTTGATCTAATTGACTATAAACTCATTATTTTGAATTTTAATGAATTTTCATAATTAGACCAAATGCCTTACATTCTGTAGGCCTATAATATTTAAAGAAGCTAACTTCAAGTCGAACACGGGTTTATATCTTTGCTATGGCGATTGCAGCGGTCGTGCGTGTGAAACCACAACTAAAGTTTATTCTACACGAGTCGTTTTTAAATAAATAATGTAATTCTTAAAACAAAATTATCAATGAAACAAATTTGTACACGTGTGTTTCGGTCGAGCATAAAGAATTAGTAAATTAGTCTTCAAAAAATAATTATGGACGCGTGTAACTGCTTTGTGTAATTTGTAAAATTTAATTTAATTTTAGTATAATTAAATTTAGCAAGCAT